CCCTAACGTTCTTTTACTTACTTCGTTTTTTTAGTAACTTTACACTTTTTCCCTCGTTTTCCGACCACCTACCCCCCCCCCCCCCCCCGGGTAAAAAAATATTTTTTTTATATATTTTCGGTTTTAGTTTATTCATCTTTCGGTTTATAGGTTCGAAATTTTACAAGTTTTAAAATTATGAGTTCGGAGGTTTATGTGTTTGGGAGTTTACAGGTTTAGAAATTATAAAGTTTACGGATTCGAAAGATCACAGATTCGAAAGTTTAGCTGTTCGCAAGTTCATGAAATTTGTGGGTTCGGAAGGTTGTTGGTTCGAAAGTTTCTAGCTTCTTGTTTATTGTACCTAAATTATTAATGAATATTCTTGAGAAGTTATTTTCCTTAATTTGCATACCAAACACCGAAAAATGAATAAGATTACTAGTTATTTTCCAAAAAATTTTTTGGAAAATATTTTCCACTATACCAAACACACCCTATAAGATCAAATCAATTAAAAGCAGATTGTAAGTATTATATCTATACTAAACATGGATTAATAATCTGAAGAAAAAAGAAAAATAAATCATTCCTTTATCACCCTTTTTGCCCCCAAGAAAAATAGTCTTATGTCTTGCAGAACTTATAGGTAGCCACTAAAAAAATACTCCCAAGTAAAGAAATTGTTTTTCGAGTATCAGTTACTGTCAAACAAATTTTCACCTGAAACAACCGTGAGGGGCAAGGGCGGCTCTTAGGGCAAGGCATGTGAAGCTTTTGCCTTGCCGCTCAAATATTTAAGGCCCTCAAAAAAAGTACTATTATATTATTATAATATACTAATTTTAGTATACGTGTGTGTTGCGCGCGTTCTCATTCTAATGAGAATAAACTCTTAAGAATAGCATAAATAATATTCAAATTACAGAGGTATTTGCAATCTAAAATAAAATTTAACAAAAAATCACAAATATGTAAATGTTAATGATGTTTAGGAGTTGGGTGCATTCTACTAGTTCTTTCTTCCCATTGTGCTAGTACTTGATTCGTTGAATAAAAGTGTTATAGGAATAATGTTTCACTGAAAACTAAAAAGGTCATTCAATATATANTATATATATATATATATATATATATATATATATATATATATATATATATATATATATATATATATATATTATTATATATTTTTTTTGTGATAGTTTACTAAAACTTTTTTCAACCCATTTTTCTCTCTTTATAGAGTGCTAAAAGTTGTATCCTTATCCTATTCATGCCTTAGAACTGTGACGACCCGACCCGTCGTCTCATGTATTACAGCCCCGTTTCCCCCATTTACTGCTTCTTCATGTTTCATTATCAGCAACGAGTGAGTTATAGTTGAATTGAATTGGTTTGGATAGGAAATGAGACACTTAGTCTCTTTAAGGAAGACTTAAGTTGGAAAGGTCAACCGGACGTTGACTTATGAGTTAGAAGGCTCGGATGTGATTTCCGGTGATTCGGTTAGCTTCCGGGGATGATTTGTGACTTGGGAGTGCGATCGGAAATGATTTTGGAGGCCCGGTGTAGAATTAGGCTTGAATTGGCGAGGTTAGTATTTTGGCGAACTCCGGTGGATGGGTGAGAATTTGATCCGAGGGCCGGAATGGAATTCCGAGAGTTGTTGTAGCTTCTTTAGGTGATTGTGGATATGTGTGCAAATTTTCAGGTCATTCGGACGTTGTTTGGTCGGGTTTTTGATCGAAAGTGCATTTCGAAAGTTTTTGAAGAACTTAGGCTTAAATCCGATGTGATTTGATGGTTTTAGCGTTGTTTGATGTGTTTTGATGATTGGAACAAGTTTGAATGATGTTATGGGATATGTCCGTGCTTTTGGTTGAGGTCCTGGGGGCCTCGGGTGAGTTTCGGGAAGGTTTCGGATCATTTTGGAGAAATTTGTATTGCTGGTTCTGGTGTAACACTGTAGCATCGCAAATGCGAAGGTTTTGCTGGGAATTGCGAAAACACTGTAGCTTGGAAAATGCGAAGGTTTTGCTGGGA